CTGGGGGCATGGGGAGGGTGCCTCCTGGAAGGAAAGTTGGCAGCTGGCTGATAGACGGTAAACAGGTATGTTGTGCTGCGGGTGGCTAAATTTTTAGTACAGAGTAGGTCAGCATCTCCCCACCCATTTCCAGGGGCAGGAAGTAGGTGGTCCCAACCCCTGGACCTGCTGGCCAACACGATTGGAGCACTAGTGCTGTCAATCATAGTGGAGGTTACCCAGAACTGTAGACCTCATTGGACCCTGGAACCAGGCAAGTGAGGGGCATCAGACAGTGGGGATTTGTCCATATGGTGGTGGGAGGGGAAGATGTGGATTGTGGGTGGGTGAGAGATGAGGAGGGAAAGTGTTTTGGTTTTTAAAACCTTTTTATAGGGAGGAAAAAAGGAGAAGTCCTATTGTCTGGGTTGTGACCCCCTAAAGTGTAAAGGGCAGCCTCGGAACATAGTGACCCCTTCCTCTCTCCGCTTTTCATACTTTGCAAATACGAAAGGGAGGGCTTCTTACTCTTTTGTTCTCCACATATTATGGGGTGGGCAGAGAAATGTTGCAGTCATACTGAGCATTTAAATAATTCAATTGATCTGACACCAATTCAATTGCAAGTTCTGCACAAGCTGCTCATTTCAGTGTTTACGCGCACTCTGTATGGGTGTGTGGGGTTGGGGGTAGGTTTTGGGGGGTGTTGGGCTGAGTGCTTGCTGTTGTCTTGGGTGAGGGGGATGCAAAACACACCCAACAAGAGCATGCTGTATTCAGGACATAGCTACAAGTCACAGAGTCATATAGCATGAAAAAGACCCTTCAGCCCAACTCGCCCATGCCAACCCGGTTTCCTGAACTGAACTAGTCTATTTGCTTGCATTTGGCCCAAATCCCTCTAAACCTTTCCTATTCATGTACCTATCCAAATGTTTTTTCAATGTTATAATTGTACCAGCTTTTACCACTTGCTCTGGCAGCTCATTCCATACACGTAGCACCCTCTGTGAAGAAGTTGCCCATCAGGTTCCTTTTAAATCCTTCATTCTCACCTTAAACCTATGCCCTCTAATTTTGGACTCCCTTACCCTTGGAAAAAGACCTTGACTATTCACCTTATCCATGCACCTTAGGCTTTATAAACGTCTAAGGTCACCCCTGATCCACCGTTGATCCAGGGAAGAAAGTCCCAGCCTATCCAGCCTCTCAAGTCCTGTTCCAGAATCTTGAACTCGGAATGGAAGATGAATTTTTAGAAATTTTTTGACAGTCGTTAGCTGCTGATCATCAGTCACTCAGGAGGAGTGAGCTACTCTACTCTGCTCCTATACCTCTTCTCCCCCCTCTACCTGCTGGGAATGACCGCTTCTGTCAGCTGGGGTTGTTACCGAGGCAGCTCCTCGCTAGGGCAAGGCCATTTTTACAATCCAGCGAAATACACATACGCTACTGCTGTTTCTTTCTGGCTCTGACTTCTCGGCGCAGGGTGTTTTTATTTGCCTTTCCCTCAATCAGCCTCTCCATGGTTGGGAGATTATCACAGCGACTCAGACAGGAAATGGGCTATCGCCTGTGGTACATGCTTCATGGCTGAGACTGATCAGGATCTGGCCTCTGCAGGATTGAGGCGAGTCACCATTAGTCAACACTTTTTTTTTGTTTTGCTATCTCCTTCTGCAAGTCCTTTTGCTATCATTTTGTAATTAAGAAGATTGTGTTTTACTTTACACGGCTTTAAAAGATAGCCAGAGGGGTACAATCTTTGGCAATGTTTGCACAGTAATCCTAACCACCCCCCCAGAAGAGAGTACTGCAAGTATAGCTGGGAGATTTTTTTTTCATCAGATAGTAGTGAAAAATGGGTATGGACCTGACAGTCATGGTTGACAATGTACTCGGTTGTCTTTCAGTCTTGCTACGAGTGTTATGTTCAGGTGGAGATGGTTGAATCAGCTCCTCACTTTTCAAATAAGAATGCTTTCCCAATGAACAAGAATGGCCACTGAAATATCAATATTGGGTTTTAAACAAGATCTATCGACCGCTTCTGTAGTAAATAGAATTATTAGCTTATTATCAAAACAAAACTTTTTCAGTAAAGATGTAACAATTGCTCAACATGCACAGTCAGTGATGTGGAGCTATTGGCATTCTAAATATCCCCAGGGTGCACTCTGAAGGGCACTTTCAAACAGGCACACCACACACACCTTTTTAGAGCTATTTCAGACCATGTAGAATCCTTACACTGTGGAAGCAGGCCATTTGGCCCATTGAGTCCACGCTGACCACCCCCCCCATCCCTGTAATCCCATGCCTAATCCACCTAAAAAGCACATCTTTGGACCGTGGGAGGAAACCCATGCAGATGGGGGGAACGTGCAAACTCCACACAGACAGTCATCCAAGGGTGGAATCAAACCTGGGTCATCTGGCACTGAGACAGAAGTGCTAACCACTGAGCAACCATGACACCCAAAGGTGTAGGTCCTATAAAGCACTAAAATCATACGGTTTGAAAATAGTCAATTTTTTAAATCTTATTTCATTACCTCTAAACTCAACTATTCCAATGTATTCTTGGCTGATTTTCCACATTCTACCCTTCATAAACTTGAGGTCATCCACAACTCTACCTGTGTCTTGTCTTCCAACAAACCCCTATTTCCTGTCACCTCTGTGCTTGCTCACTCACTTTGGCTCCTGTTCAAGCAACATCCTGGTTTCTGTTTTCCAAATCTCTCTGGTTTTGCCTCTGTCTAACTTCCCAAATCTGAGATATTGGCATTCCTCTAATTCTGGCCTCCTGAGCATCATGGGCTTTGATCATTCCACATTTGCGATGAGAACCTTTCGGTTGCCTAGGTCCCAAGCTCTGGAATAGCCTCCTGGCACCGTGCTCTCGCTCTCTCTCTCTCTCTCAATGTTCATTTTCTCCTCTCATACTTAAAACCTGCATCTTTGACAAAGCTTTTGGTTATTTGACCCAAGCTGTCCTTATCTGACTTGATTGTCATACTTTCCCATGAATGATCCTGTGGTGTACTCTGACATTTTACCATGTTGGAGGTATGATTAGCACTGCTGCCTCTCAGCAACAGGGACCTGCGTTTTATTCCACCCTTGGGTGACACTGTGGACGTTGCACATTTTCTCTATAACAGCTCGGGTTTCCTCCCAAAGTCCAAAGATTAGGTGGATTGGATGTGCTAAATTGCCCCCATTGTGTCTAGGGATGTGCAGGATAGGTGGATTAGCAATGGGAAATGTAGGGTTAACAGCAGTAGGGTAGGTGGTTAGGTCTGGGTGGGATGCTGTTCGGGGGGGACAATTTAGACTCGATGGCCAGAACAGCCTGTTTCCACACTGTAGGGATTCTATGAAAATAGTTGTATTAATGTTTTGTGTGTTGGGGTCACCTCTCTCCAACTTGCTCACTACTCAATGGAAAGCAACTTCAAAGCACCTCTGAAAGGATATTTGTTGAAGATGTGGTAACAAGGTGTGGAGCTGGATGAACACAGCAGGCCAGGCAGCATCAGAGGAGCAGGAAAGCTGACGTTTCGGGTCTGGACCCTTCTTCAGCATCAGCAGTTCCTACTATCTCTTTGTTGAAGATGTGACTGGATTGCCATGAACTAGTTCCTCTATAAGACCATCTCTCTGGTGACACTATGAAAAATGGTGAATGGGAAGGCTATGGTGAGAAGCTACCCCAACTGAAAAATAATGAGTCAGTACTTCCTAGAGAAGGAGAGGATAGGAGCGTATTACTGAGTGGAACAAGAGCAGAATGTCTTTGAGAAGAGATGTTAAAACTCTTGGATCTAAATGATCCTATGGCACTCATTAAAAATGAGCAAGTAAGTTCTTCCTTATGCCCTAAGCAATATTTAGGCCTCAAAACGCTAAAACAGGTTAAATGGTCAGAGTCATACAGCATGGAAACAGGCCCCTTCCTCCAACCTGTCCAAACTAAACTAGCCCCACCACCTGCTCCTGGCTCACATCCTTCCAAACCTTTCCTATTCATGTACTTAACCAATTTTTAAAAAAATATATAATTGTGGTTAGGCCACTTTGGAGCACTGTGTGTAGTTCTGGTCTCCCTGCTATAGGAAGGATGTTGGGTAACTTGAAAGGGTTCAGAAAAAAGATTTATAAAGATGTTGCCAGGGTTGGAGAGTTTGAGCTATAGGGAGAGGCTGAAGAGGTTGGGCTATTTTCTGTTGGAGGCTGAGGGGTGACCTGATAGAGGTTTATAAAATCATGAGGGGCATGGATACAGTGAATAGCAAAGGTCTTTTCCTCAGGGTGGGGGAGTCCAAAACTAGAAGGCTTTGGTTTAAGGTGAGAGGGGAAAGAGTTAAAAGGGACCTAACAGACAACTTTTTCACACAAAGGATGGTGTGTATGGAATGAGCTGCCAGAAGATGTACAACATTTAAAAGGCATCTGGATGGGTACATGAATAGGAAGGGTTTAGAGGGATATGAGCCAAATGCTGGCAAATTGGACTAGATTAATTTAGGATATCTGGTCTGCATGGACAAGTTGGACCAAAGGATCTGTTTCTATGCTGTACAGTTCTATGATTCTACTCGCATCCACCACTTCCTCAGGAAGTTCACTCCACATGTGAACCACCCTCTGTGCAAAAAAAAATGCACCTTGGTCTTTTTGAAATCTCTCTCGTCTCACCTTTAAAAAGGTGCCCCTCCCCCCTCTTGAAATCCCCTATCCTATGGAAAAGACAACTCCCAATAACTCTATCTGTACCCCTCATTATTTTATAAACTAGTCACTTTGCTGCTTGTGGCAGTTTGTCTTGTGCCAAATTTGTCACAAAAGTGACCAAACTTCAAAAGGCTTTCTTACTACAGTTAGTTGCTCACCAGTCAGAAAAACATTAAAATAGTCGAGTGTAATGGAGAATATAAACAAAAAGATTAATGTTGACCTGTTAAATTGGCAAAACTGTACCTGTGTCACTTTGAACCTTTTCTTTTCTTTCAAAGCATATTTGTGTGATCAGTGAAAAAGGAAGACAAAAGTACAAGGTATGAAGACACAAAGGACATGTTTGCAATAACGTGAATATTTCTGGCAAGGAATAGATCACTGTAGATCTTGAAACATCCCTACCCTCTTGGTCAATCGATTTATATAGGCAATGGAATGTGTGCAAAAAGGCTCCATCTGAAAATGTACATAGCTGCACATATGTCAGATTATTTACTATTTTTGTATTGTGTCTGATGGAAATGGGTTAAATTTTTATATTTGAAATGTGCTGTAAAGTTATGATTTGCCCTCCTGGAAACATTGAGAGCAAAAAGAAATATTTTTATATTCAGATGTTTTGTTTATGTGTGCACAAATGAGCGTAAGGCGGTATCCTAATCAAATCTGCAGCATCTACTGCGCTCCATGTTTCACGCGAGGCAGTGGTGAACAGTTGGAGTCAATGGCCCAATATCAATACTGGGCAGCAGTGCTCATGAGTAGGCATTGTCAGAATGGGCAGGTGAGCTCCATTTGCCAAGCCTACCTCAACAAGGTTGAAGAAGGGTAGGTGAGATTGGGAGCGTACTGACCCAGGGCCAGTCGCTTCAAATGGCTTGGGTGGTCTGCAAATCAGTAGTTGAAAACAACAACCAAAGGCCTGGGGGTTTAAAAACTGGTGGCCTGAAATGTATTCATAGCAAACCCAATTCCCATTGACTTCAATGGGACAGAGAACCAGATCAGATAGAAAATGACTGATCCACTACAAAGCTGTTTTCATCTATTGGTCCAGGCTAGCTTTGGAGTGTCCTGTCTCTGTTGAACCCATTTTGTAAATGTATTTGGGATTGTCTGGTTTGCAAGTAATAAGGCGGCCACTCTTCTCCCTCCCTCAGGGTCCCATCCCCCTGCAAAGGCGCACATCCCAACCCCACTGCTATGCAGTGCTGTGGCTTAGTGACATTTCTAATGACCAGGTCAAAGGGAGCCCTGAGAGTGGAAAGGCAAAGAGGATATAAGGCAGCACAGCCTTCGGCTCTTTTATCCCATCGCCTGATAGAGAATAGGAACCCATCTATACCAATTTTCTTCTGCAAAGTGGCAGCAAGAAATGGGGGGTTCCAAACCCCTTTCTGGATAGGAATTCCACCTCATTCTATTTCTGCCAATCTACCTTTAGTGGGCTTTTCCCTGCTTCATGTGGCTTGGTCATTATGGCTATCACTTGCTGAGCATGTAGATCTGTGTTGGCATGCTCTGTGTACAGTGTTTGCCGGATTGGCTTCCCACCAAAGTTTTAACACAAGGGGATGAGCTGCTTGCATCTTTGTCTTGTAAACATTGCATGTAACAGCACAAGCTAGAGATCCCAGAACTCAGTGCATGGTGTGGGACATACTTCTCAGTGCATTTGCCACTTCAATGTCAGCCTACACTACTTGGCTATTAATTTATCTTCTGTTTATTTATATTTATGGATGTATTAGCAATAAACCAAACTTGGCAAGATACCTTACTGGCTAAAAGTGTTTTCTACAATGACCTACATTGCTTTGCACATGCGTGTTTTTAATTCATACATGGGATGTGGGTATCACTGGCTATGTCAGCATTTAACTTCCCTAAAGGGCATTAGTGAAACAAGCTGGTGTTTATGACATTTGGGCTAACTCTTTACACCAGATTTTACTGAATTCAAATTTCACCATATGCCATGGTGGGGATTTGAGTTCACATCCTATTGGCCTGGGCTTCTGGAATGCTAGTCCGGTGACATTACAAATACAACACTCCCTCTCCTGTGTGGCTATTGAAGCCATTGAGTTTCTGACTATCTTTGGTCCCTCAATGCGTGGTCAAAATCAGCAATCCAATACAGAGGATCGGTGTCTGAGCTGGAGGAGTATTGAATGCCATCTGACCCACTTTTTTTAAATCGGAAAGAATCAATTGTGTGGTCAAGGCCCATTGACATACAGGGAGTTGATGAATTGGCAAGTGAGCACGAGCCAGCAAAAAAACTGGAGATACAGGAAAATTGGAGCAGGAGTAGTCCATTCAGCTCTTCGAGGCACTTCATCGATCATGGTTGATTGCCTAACTCCAATATATTTTTGTATCCTCTGCAAACTTGCTAATTGTACCATCTACATTCACATCCCTGTCATCAATGTACATAACAAAGAGCAAAGCTCCTAGCACCGATCTCTGTGGAACAGTGCTGGTCACAGGTTTCCAATCACAAAAACAGCCTCCACCATTACCCTTTGCCTCCTATTTGTAAGCCAGTTTTGGAACCAGTTTGTCAGCTTATCTTTGATCCCAAGGGTTCTTACCTTATGGACCAGCTTTCCCTGTAGGACCTTGTCAAAGGCCTTACTGAAGTCCATGTCAACCACATCCAACTGCACTATTTAGTCACCTTAAACTCAACTAAATTAGTGAGACACTATGTCCTGCCAAGAAATCAATGCTGACTATCACTGATCAATCCCTATCCTTCCAAGCATTGATTAATCCTGTACCTCTGAATTTTTCCAATAATTTCCCCACCACTGACATCAGACAACTAGCAATTACCTCGCCTATCCCTGCAGCCCTTCTTGAACAAAGGAACTACATTAGCTAATGTCCAGTCATCTGGCACTTCAACTGTGACCAATGAAGTATTAAATAGCCCCACCAAGGCCCCAGCAACCTCCTCTCTTGCCTCCCATAGCAGCCTGGGATACATGTCATCAGGTCTGGCAGCACCTGTGGAGAGAAACTGGAGTTAACATTTCGGGTCCACTGACCCTTCCTGCGAACTGAGTAAGGAAGGGTTGTTTACTGAAACATTAACTCTGATTTCTCTCCACGAATGTTGACAGACCTGCTGAGCTTTTCCAGCAATTTCAGTTTTTGTCTCATTTCCAGCATCTGCAGTTCTTTTGGTTTTTACATCTCATCAGGGCCTGGGGATTTGTGCACCTTTATGCCTACTAAAACATCTAATACCTCCTTCTTGTTAATCTTAAAATGCTCGAGAACCTCACCATTGCAACTGATATCCCTGACTGCAATGTTTTTCTCTCCTTTGTGAATGCAGATTGAAAAATATCCTTTTGAGACCTCTGTGTCCACTGGCTCCATGTGCAAGTTGCTCCACTGGTCTCTAATAGGCCTCACTCTTTCACTGGTTGTTTAGGTGTTCTCTGCTGGCTGATTTATGTACACCAATGAACCTTCTGTGATATCACTAATTGCTAATTGAAAAATTTATTGTTTTTATAAATTAGCGACAAATGGCAATGGTGCTTTCAGCTGCTTGGTTCCCAACCCTCGGGAATTCTTTCCCTGAACCTCCACCTCTGTCTCTGTTTCTTTTTGCTCCTTTTAAAATGTTCCTTAAAACCTATCTCTTTGACCAAGCTATTGGTCACATGCCCTATTGTTGCCTCAGTCAAAAGACTCCATATCACTTTTTTTTTAATCTGGTTATGTTGATGTGCGGCGGTAAAACATGCTTCACAAGTAAAACATCCCAGTGTGTTGCTAAAAAAGACATGTTTCGTAGATGCTCTTCACCTTGCACTCTTCAGAACATACGAAAAAATACTACTGTAAAGGGGAACAACATTTTTATACTATAAAAGTGATTGCTAAAGGTGTTTCCTTGGAAAATGTTAAAGTTAGATGATTGCTGACAGTTAACTGCTAGCTTTGTTTAAATTTAAACCAAGTAAGTTGACTCTGGTCAAAGTTTTGCCCTGAGGAATGAACCAGAGAACTATTTTGTTGAGTTGAAACAAGCACGTTCCTTTTGTCCATGAAAAAAATAGGGTCATGTGTATTAATAATATGTAGCCTCCAATCAGTGTGCCACAATGAGAATCCAACAGATTATCTTCAGTTGATTCTCTGTGTAATTCCTAGCATACTCAGGATAATCTAGCAAATGATGTCCCATCAAGAAATCACATCTAATGTTGGACATTGTTTAGAGCTTTGGAAGCATGGTTGGGGTAGAAGGGGAGGGATGACATGGGCCTCACTTCAAAGAGGTACAAGTGGAGGAAGTGTAGTCAGTTTGTGGAAGCGGAAGGGTTTGGAATTGTCTATGACAAATTGCAATGCCAGTTCTACAATTAGTGTATTTTCAATCCTTTAACTTTCCTAGGTAATGATTATGTTTGAGTGAATCCAAAGACTCTGACTTCAATGGATGCCACTCCTACAGACTCAGTTGTGTCAGGCATTCTGCATGATCCCAATGGGCAACAGCAGCCTATACTGCTCCAATGACTCAATGGCCATTGGAATATCCAGGTCAATACTGTTAATCTTAGCAAACAGGTACGAATAACATTAACATCAAGCAATAAACTACATCTTATTGAAGGCAAGGCTCTTGTTAAGACCACAGTTGGAATCCTAAAGTCAAATATGACATCAATGTTCCAGCTGAAGGTTTTACAAATGATTTTCTGCCCTCCTGTTGAGCTCTGTCAACATTGAAGATGGTGATGTTTGTAGCATCTGATACTGTTGTTTCCAAGTACCTGACGGGACTGCAGAACCTACCCTGATGCGTTGTAGAAATATTTGGCTCTGGTCATAGTATGCCACTCAATGTCACAGTAGTGGCACTCTGAGTGCTACACTTACACCACTCCAGCTCCAAAGCAGTCCCCCTTCCCAGGAACCCTGCAGCCCAATGGTATCAATGTGGACTTCACATGCTTCAAAATCTCCCCTCCCCCTACCGCATCCCAAAACCAGCCCAGCTCGTTCCCCCCCCCC